TGAATAAATGTCTCAAATGTCATTCACTCAGAATAGTGCCCACATGAACACTTAGGCTATCCCAAACTCAGCACACACACAAAATGACTTTAACAGCAAAGACCCACATTTTTATTCACCTAAGAAAATCAATCTTCCTTTTAGCAATATCATTGGAAGTCCTCCTGGTCATTAGAGAGGCCATCTAATTTATTGTCTGAAGTAGGAATTGCTTAAAAGTCAAAGGGGGCACTATTAATAATTATGCCAGGAAAATAGACCAGGGCTGTCCCCAGCAAACTGGGGCACATGGTCACTCTGCTCAATATGTCACATCCACTAATGATTTGATTACAAAATCTTCCATTGGCCTCTGAAGGTTTTCCTGGGAACCAGATTTGTCCCATTTCCACCTGTGCAGCATGCTTGGCTCCGCTCGCTGTTGGAAGTTCCTGCTGGATGGGAAAGGACACAGCACGGTTCTGTTCCTTCCAGGATTTGAGATCTCCTGCCTCCTTCTAACTTTCACTGATGCCTCTAGGCTTAAGCCTACTAAGAAAGACTGTCTTTGACAGTCATAGATGATGCAGATGGGTGTCTGAAATTTGGGACCTGGGAAGCAAATGACATCTGTCTTTGGATCCTTCCATTTCTTCTTCTGTTTGCGTTCTTCTCTTTCACAGACCTTTCAAGATAATTCAGATTAAAGACTTTCCCCCTACTTTTTTCTTTAATCTAATTGGGTCACCTCTCCATGCTAGAAATTTGCATTTTCTCCTGGGGAGTCTATGGCTCAGGCCACTGCAGTACACCACCCCTGATGGTCAAACCACTTTCCACAACCAGCAAAGACATCATTGCAGCAATAGTAAGTTTTACATTTAGCACTGGGGCATGGGGCAAGGAACAAAGAAAGTTTGGGGGCATTTCAAACGATGCAAGAGATGAAAGAAAGAAGCAGGCTTTTGAAATGCAAAGATACAAATCCCTTTCCAGGAAGCAAATTATACAGTGGTACAGAAGAAAAAAAAGGAGGAAGGGTTAAAGGTAGTGGGATAGTGAAAGGAGTTGTTTAATGGATAGAGAAAGATCCAGAAAGGTGACTCTCAGATCCCTTAGATAAAGCCACCCACCTACTCATCAAAGATGAGAAAAAGCCAGCTGCCTTTATTCTTTTGACAAAAATGTGCCAGTGTGGCAGAGAGAGGAGGTAAGAAGATTGGTAATAGCTCATTCTCATTTACCATGCAGCCTGAACGATTCTATCCCTCACTTTATAAAAAGGCCTTGCAGGAGACTTGGGACACGTGGTGTTGACAGAATCTACAGTGACAAGGAAAAGGGAGGGGAACACAGAGGAAAAGGGGGCTGATGTAATATTTGCAGGTGAAGAACTTGAAGAGAGCAGACTGCAGGGGTTGGCCCCAGACCTGTCTGTGTGAGTATGGGATAGAGAGGCATATTTGAATTCTTAATGCCATTCTGTTAGCTGCCAGGGCCCTGTGCCAGTGCTGGGCCAGCCTGTGGGCACCTCATCTCATTGCTGTGCTGCAATCTGCCCTGCTACTGGTCACCTCTCCCTATGGCCCAGAAGGGCAAAGACCTCAGTAGAAAGCCATTTGGGCTTCTGTGGGTGAAATCTCATTAGGTTGGCACAGATGGCACCTCCCAGGTGGTGACAGGTCTGCAAAGCATGCAGATGGAAAACACACTCACACACACACCTTCTCTCAAGTCACACAGTGGGCAGGGAAGAGGGATGTGGAATCTGATCCGAAAAGAACAAAAGCTGCTGCCTCTGCAATGAGCTGAGAGTGACAGGAGGACAGCTAAAGGAAACCACAAGTGTGAAAACCCACAGCAGAAGCCGCCTGAGAGCATATGCATCGGACTTCACAGCTTCCTCCTGTTTCCAGCTTACATTTGCTCCATATGCTGGTTTACACAGCTTTTCAGGCCATAATGGGTTTTATTCCATAGTTTTTATACTAACATGAATGACTCACATCTGCTCCAATGCCCAATTTACTCTAATGTCTTCGGCTGTGAGGCGAGAACAGCTTACAGAGAACTTGCCAACGACAGGAGAGGCAAGAAGAGTCCTGATTCAGGGAGGAGGAAGGTGAGAACCAGTGTGTGAGAGCCAAGAGGGCTCTGATGGGGCGTGGCATTATGGATGGGAAACCGAGACCCAGAGAAATGAGGAACTTGTTCAAGAATATCAAGACTAGGGAGATAGATCCATTTTAGGGCACCAGATATCCCTAATTCAGAACATACTTATTTTTCTTATTTCCTGCTGTGGAGAAAGTGAAGGTTCCTCTGGCCAGGATTCTCACTGGCCCTGGTCAGCCAGCTCACTACACATGTGTGGGCACTACATTGTTACTGACTGTATATAAAGAGCTCCGCCCAGTGCTCTGGGTGACACAGTGGCATGGCTACAAGGCTGCAGGAGTGCAGAGACAAGACTGGAGTGGTGGCAGCACCGAGGACAGAGACTGAGATGACTGTGGGGTAGAGGGGCCCAGAGGCAGAGACTGGCTTGCTGCATGCAGACTCGCTCTGAGTGGATGGGATTCTAGTGATTCACCTGCCACTGTGGAAGTAAAGTTGGGTATAACCCTTTCACCCCAAGAATGTTCCATTGTCATTCCTCGGTCTCACTGAATCCATAGTGAACTTGTCCAGGGCTGAAACCCACTGGCAAGACACCTGCCATGTTAATCCTTTTGCTAGGAGCTTTTCCTTCCCATAGAGGTTGAGATGAGAGAAAACTAACTTGGATTCATCTCCAGTGATAGCTAATCCCCCACTGGGATCAACTGTGCTCTGCATTACTTAATTTGGTTATTAAAGTTTTAAATATCTGCCAGAGTGAAGGGGGCCCCTGGATAGTTAGACTACATCCTGGGAATAACCTACAATGCTGAGTCCTGCATGGAGACTCACTTGGCTTCAAGATGTGTGAAATCCCACCTGAAATGGATTTCAATCCTAATGACAGTTACTGGTTTGACAACCCAGACTAATATGCCTTTTGGCTATATTAGGTGGTAAAACTTGGCAAAACTAGGTTCCCTTAACAGCTTGCAAAGGCCCACTGAATCTTCTCCACTTGAGCGGAGGACAAAATGGTGATTCAAGAAGCAAGCACTTGGAAGGCAATCCCTGCTCTCCCAGGCCCTGCAGGCCCTGCATGGAGCTGCCATGGGAAAGTCAGGGCCTTGGTTTCCTCAGACGCCAAACAGAATGAGCACCTCAGCCCATCGGCGGCAGACAGTGTGGTGCTGCACCATCTCTGAAGCTTGGTGGTGGTGTTGTGTAACTGTCTGCCATCTGTTCCTCAGACACAGCATCACAAAGCACTGAGCAATGGACTACGGAGCTGCTGCTCCTGCCTGGAGCTGACAGCATCTCAGCGGCTGGCCTGGGGGTCCCCTGCAGAGCACCCTGCAGGCCCAAGCCTGCAGGTCCAGGGTGAGGCTCCTGGAAGAGGTCTAGGGAGCTCAAGATGCTGCAGGGATGGGTTGTCTTCTCCCCCTGCCTGTCTTGTAATGGTGATCCACCTGGACCATTGCCTGGCCAAAGTGTGGACTGGGGAACCTACTGCAACCATCCAGTGTGTAGGGTTCTAATAAGAGCAAATCCAGGACCACCAGCTAAGGATCTTTGTGATAGTCTGAGAGCTCAGCTGAATCTTGAGATGGGCTCGTATGAGTGCACAGCTTTTCTGGGTTATTTGATTTCCACCTCTTTTCTCAACTGAAAACTTATACTTATCTACAGCCCGGCCAAGAACTTGTTGGGGCTTTGAGGCAGGACTGCCCCATGGCTGAAAGACAAGGCACCAAACACAGGAGGCTTTCAGCAGATTCCTCCACCTCTGACACCACTTCCTGGGGGCTCCACCTTACTAGAGAATGAATTTTGGAGCCCTGCTTTACACCTGCCCCACTTCTAGTGGGCTATGGGGCTGCCCCTATGCTGAGCTTGGTTGGGGAGAGGCAGGGAGGATGGTGGCTACATCATGCTCACCTCCTGAAGCAACTTGGTGAGATGAACATCCCTCCAACTAAGGCCCCAGAGATGAAAATGGTTCACTTTCTGCAGACACCCTTCCCCAGGCAAAGCAAGGGGTTTTACTTCCCCTCTTTGAGCAATCAAATGATCAGATAACCACCAGCACCTTGCATTCAGCTTTCACAACTTGTTAGAGGAGGTATTAATCATCCTTATTTTGCAGATGAAGAATCTAAGGCTGGAGAAGGTAAAGGATGTACCCAAGATACACATAGTGTGGCTGACCCAGGAACCCCTAGTCCAGAAATACACCATTATTCCAGCCCAGCTGAGGCCTACATAGGATGCCAACTCAGACTTTGCTTTATGGTTAGATCCAAGTAGTTTTAATCTGCAAGGGGGTGGAAGCTGTACTTTCCAAAGACATTTGAGAAAAGAGCTTTTGAAAGATAACCCTTGGCACCCAGGATCCCCCTGCCAAGGTTCTTTCCAAGAACCCCATGTGGCTGGACCAACTTTGGCCCCAGTTTCATGCAAGCACAGAGCCCTGATGCTTTAAAGGAGAGAAAACCCTTAAGATAATTGCGACTTAATTTTTAAAAGGACTTCTTTAAAGTTAAATTTAGACCAGCTCAGTGCTCCATTAAGCAGAAAAAGTTGCCAGGCACCTGCAGGCAGGCACTGAAACACCCTGGGGAGCTCTGGCTGAACTCTGCTTTAGTCTTGAACCTCCATGAGAGAGAACCGCGGCCGGGGCAGCAGCCAGGCAAGAGTCCCAGGGTTGCAGCGCTGGCTCCCGGAAGGCGGGTGCATTGAGGACGGGACCCGGGTGTAAGCGCCACGTGCAGCCCCCGCTGTGAGCGGGAAAGCCCTCTCAGGCATAGCTCCGCCGGGCGCCGGCTGGCTCTTAGTCCCAGCTTGTAGCTGGGGTGGGGGCCTCGCAGATGCACTGTTCCCGCCCCGCCCCGCCCCGCCCCAACCCAGGATGGCTTGGGAGCGGCGCCCAGGGCTCCGCGCAGGCGGCCCCGGAGCAGCACCGTGCACCTCGGTCGGCGGGAGGCGGTAGCGCCCCCTCTTAAGAGTGCAGGTTGGTCCCGCCAGGGCTCCCTCGGAGTCGGTCTGTCTGTCGGGTCCACCCTCAGCTTCGCTCCCTCCTCTCCGCTTTTGTGTTGCTCCCGGGGTGCCGGGCACAGCCTCGGATTCCTCCCTCCTGGCAGCTCGAGTCAGTTCTCGCGGCGGTGGCCGGCAAGGCGGCGGCGACGGCTCGGGGACTATCTCGGCTATCACCGCGCTTCTCTGGCTGGAGCGGGCGTCCAGCTTGGCTGTCCTTCGGCCCCTCCCTGCCGTGCCTCGGGGCGCCCTGCGGCCCCCCTCCCCCCTCGCTGCTCTCCAAGTGGGCGGGGCGCCTAGAAGGATCCTGCCTCCCCTCCACCTGGATCTTAGGGCTCCGCGCCCCGGAGCCAGGCGCTCTCCGCGTCTCCTGCCCCGCCAACCCCGACCGCCAGGGGGTGCCACAGGGGCGGAGTGCCGCGGAGACCAGGCAAAGGGGACCATGCGGCGCCTGACACGCCGCTTGGCGCTGCCGATCGTCGGCGTGCTCTGGATCACCGTGCTGCTGTTCTTCTGGGTAACCAAGAAGAAGTTAGATGTGCCGCCGGGACCTGAAGTGCAGACCCCCAAGGTACGGGGTTTGGCGGCGCGCCGGGCGCGGGGCAGTGTTGGGCAGGAGGGCGCGCAGTTCGCGCGCCGGGTGTGCGGGCTCGCGGGAAGCCAGGGCGGGAGTCTGTCTGCGAGCAGGTAACTGGGCGCCGGGTGCGTCTACAGTGTGATCCTTCAGGATTGAGAAAAGCTGGGAGGCATCTCCGAGCCGCGATGTGGGCAAGCGGGAGTGCGTGTGGGTGGTGGGCGCGCTCGCGGGCAGAGCGGGGCTCTCAACTTGGGCAGCGCGCCAGGGTCCCGGGGCGGAGGGGGCTCTGCAGCCGAGCAGCTCAGGCGGTGTTGGTCCCCGGACTCCGCGGGACAGTCGTGGGTGGTTAGGTTGGGTGGCGGGGCCGGCCGGTGCAGGCACCCGTGAGAAGTCTGGTGGTTGCGCTGACCTGCTTCCTTCCCGCAGCTGCCAGGCCCGGCAGCGGGAGGCCGGCGGCTTGAGCGCGCCGCGCGCGCGTGTGCATCGCGGGCGAGCGCCCTGCAGCCTCCCGGGCGGCTGCAGGCCCACCCGGCCTGTCGCCTCCCTTGCTTTATAATTGTCCCCGAGCTTTTCAACTGCCCTGGAAGTTGAATGTATCCTGAACACCACTAAAGAGCCTGTAAAAACAGACGCCTTGGTTTTGGTGGTTAGTTGGGGGAATGAGAATCCAAGTGGCTTTTCCAACTCCTGGCCCTTGTGTTCATCTGGGCTGAGCCAGAAGGTTCTCCCCACAGGCTCACTCTTACCTTTAATTCAGAGCCCCCACCCCCGGGGTTCCTCAGTCTCCTCTTCCACAGACAAGGCCATGGGGCACAGAAGGAGGCGTCTGAGGGTTTCCTGAACAGCTAGGCAACATTTATGAATTGGGTCCCAAGCAGTCCTCCAGGGCCTGGGAAAAAGCCCTTGGGGAGCTTATGGTCCAAAGCAGGAGACTGGCAAGAGAGGGGAGAGTGGAGAGAGGGGAGTCTCTCCAGTAGGTTCAGCACAGAGTAGGTGCCAGGCGTGTCCTGGGTGCTTCTTCCTAAGTAGTTGTTTAAGTTGGGTGGTATCATAGATTAAGGAATAGGTTCAGTGTTGAAGTACATTGCCTTAAGTCACTCCCAGTTGGAACTCACACCTCTGATACTCAGAATCTTTCACTATATAAGGTGCCTCTCAAATCCCTTTAACTGAGTCTTCTGGCACTGAGGTTTTGTGGCCTTGCCAGTGCTCAGCTGAGTTCCATAAGCATTAATTGGCGGTCTGCTGTGTGCCAGGCAGGGTGCTGCATGCTGTGGGTACAGCAATGCAGAACTCACTCTCTGGAGGTGGAGGGTTTGCTCGTGAATGGAGCAGGATTCAGTGGGCTCTGAGGGCCAGCAGGGCTCAGTGCCCTGGGTGTCATGGGAGCCTGGGGGCTTCTTGGTGGAGGAGGACATAATAGAGCTGAGTTTGAGAAGGATGAATAGGACGTTTGCCAGCAGGTAGGGAGGGCATTTCAGGTAGAGGTTAACTGCACCACACAGGCTCAGGAATGGCAAAGCACAGTGTGTGAGTTTGGCAGAATTTGAGCACAAAGCATGTGGCTAATGGGAAGGATGAGACGGGGAGGTATGTAAGGATCATGTTCCATAGGACCTTTTGGTTGCTAGGGGTCCTTGGAGGAGGACCAAGCAGGGGAGAGACCACATCAGACTGGTGGTGACTTCAAACAGCCCTTAGAGCACCAGATCAATTTTCTGACCCCAGTCCTACTCCTAGATCTGGAGAGTTTTCTTCTATTCCCTTAGGTGGTTCTGCTCTCCTGATGCAGTTAATGATGTCTGCAGGGACCTGAACTTTCTGTTTTGCTTGAACCTCATTATCTTAAGCTTACTTATTCTTAGTTTACACCAGGGAGCTGGGACAGGAGATCTCTTCCTCCTTTGTGCACTCTGTGCTTCTTTCTTACCTGCTTCTTCTCAGCTTGGCGTGTGCTGAATACACATTTACTGAAGGCAGCTGTATGTCAGACTTTGTGCTAGGTTTGGGGGCTGCTACAATGAGTACACTATATCCCTGCCCTTTGTGGTATGGAACAGGGGGATCTTACAAGTTCCTGGTTGAGGCAGAATTACAAACAAATGAATAATGGGGTGGGGTGGAGGGAGTGGTCTTAATATTGGAAGTCTGGATATCGTGCTATGCAGTCATGAAGAGGGGTAGGGTTTTCTATTTTGGCCACTTGCTCTTTGTCTTAATATCTTATGCTTCCTTTCCCCTGTTTTCTGTATCCTTTATAACCATGAATTTTATAGATTTTTTACATCATGATACTTTTTATTTTTAGGTGCCCTCTTTTTGCTAGTCTATTTCTCCTTCCAGTTTTTTTCACCTGCAAGTATGACTTTGTGTGTCTACATATATGTGTTGTGTGCATTTGTGGATAAGCACCCCTCTGTATCTTAGTGTTTAAGTATCTGAGGAGAGAAGTGGAGAGACAAAGGAGAGGTCCCCTCTTAGCACCAGCACAGTTTAATTCCCATGACAGATCAATATAGGAAATTTGCATGGCTGGTCTGAAGGGGTGCTGTTGGTTTTCAAACCTGACTGCCTGTCAGAGTTATTTGGAGAGCTGGTTTGACTTATATGTTTTGGGGTTTATTGCAGAGATTATAATTCTGTGGGTTTGGGAGAAGGTCCTAGAATCAGTATCTTGTAAGTGCTCCGTGTGAGTGTGAATTAGCCTGTTGATGGATGGCTTTTGGGAGCTGGATGAAGAATATCAAGTCTTGATTTTTTTGTGATTTGGTCGGCCCCGTGTAAATATGGCCAAATACCATTCTTCTTGAGTTCCTCATGGACCAAGCGTGTATGAGCGTGTGCGTTTGTGTGAAATAACAGTAACTAGTATTTGTATGGTGCTTTGTAAATTCACAACTTCTTTTTCACGTAGGCTAGCTCATTTGGCCTTTACCACAACCACCTAAGGCAGATAATACTTTTCCGCAGATGAGACTGAGTAACGAAATTATGCAATTGGCCCAAGAACACATGGCTGTTATTGAGCTGCGGTGTCAGGGACAACAATGGAATGGAATGGGACCACCCTCTGCTGTGTGGCTGGCCTGGGTCTGCCCTTGCAGGGCTAGGGTGGGGTTAGGGATGGCACAACTGGACAGAGCCCACCCTGGTGGGGAGAGGCCATGGGAGGTTGGCCCAGTGGTAGCAGGTGGTTGGAGCCTCATTGGATTAGTAACCAGGCGGGAGGGCAGAGATTGTTTTCTCAACAGTAGGAATTTGGGTCTTGTAGGGCAAATACTCAGGTTCTGAATGGGCTCAGTGTCCTAGGTTTTCCTAGGGAGCGCTCGTGTCTAGTCAAGGGCCAAGCTCTGTCTTGGGCACATCAGAGCCTTGGGGGAAGTTTTCATCCTGTCTCTGCTTGTTCCCAGTGTGGCAGAGGGAGTCAGTTTGTTTTCCAAAGCAAGAGCAGTGGGCTCCCTTCCCTTAAAAATAGGTGGAGAAATTGGGAATGGTGGAGAGATCAGAGAGGAGAGGGCTGTGGCCAGGTCTCCCTGTTGAGGGCCTGTCAGCTTTTAGTTTCCATTCAGCAAACTACTTTCACTGGGATCTGCAGTAAGTTCTGGGACCGGGCTCCTGGGCCCTTCTTCCTCTTCGGGAAACCTCATTCCCCTAGTCGTGGATCTCCAAGGTGGCCCTGATAATAGAGTCGAACCATGCCTGGTCACGGTCTGAGTAATAGAGACAAGGCATGCTACACTCCTGGTTTCAGAAAGTTGGATTTTTTTTCCCTTAGTTTCAAGAAGGGCTGGTACTATTCATAGCTCAAGTAAAGATTTCTTTAAGTTTGACTTTTTAATGTTGATTCAATTCTTTTACCAGGTCCTCCACCCCTAAATTCAGCAAAGCTCTAATTCCTAATTGAAAATCTTGTAACAAGTTTGGTGTTTTAATTCAGTTTGTATTTTAGTGATAAATACTACACTCCTAAAAAGCACCTGAAAATTTTTCTCATTTTTTTTCTCTCTCTATCGTTTGTTTGCTGTTTGGGGAATTGTACAATAATTGACAGAATTAAAAAAAAATAAACCCAGGAAATTTGTATCTTATTTCCAAGAAATGAAATTTAGTCCAGGGGATTAGGATTTAGTAAAAGCAAAAGAATTTGAGGCCTGAGGGTACTTTTTGAGGAAGGTATTGGAAATGTAAAGGCTTGGAATAAAGTGCCTCAAGGCCCATGTGAATGTACTAGAAATACAGCAAACACTATTAGAAAAGAGCTTGTCTTCCTGTAATATTTGCATACCACAAATGCTTTAAGTGTATGACACTGTTATTCTATTCCCCATTTAGGAGATAATTTCTCCCATTTATAAGAACTCATGCATTTGAGAGAGACCCTATTAATCTGCTGATGCTCCATGCATGAATCCTGGACCCTGTCCCAGGAATTTTGACCCTGGCCCTGCCAGAGGTGGCGCACTCTTGGCTGCTCATCCTGCCTTCCTCCGGTGTGTGCGGGCCCCTGTGCTGGGCGCTATGTTGTTCCCTCCTCTCAGGTTGCCCTGGAGCAGGCACAGGGGTGGTGGTGCCTGTAGTTCAGCTGCAGCTGCTCTGGGAGGCTGTGCAATACATATGTAACAAGTATTCAAGAAATAGACTGTTTTTGCTTTTCAGAGATCGACAGGTTTTTATTTTTTTGAAACAAACAAACTCTGAGCTCCCATCCCATCAAGCTGGTGGGAATTTCAGAGAAATCCCTGGGTCGGGTTTGGCTTGCTGGGTAGTGTACGCTGTCCCAGCTTGCTTTCTCAGCCAGCCCTCTCCCCTGGGACCTACGGATCTGTTCCAGGGGCATCTCTTTGAGTCAGAATGGGGCACGCTCTCTCTCGCCCCCAAAATCCTTTTTCGCTTAAATGGCCTGGTGCTTTGGGAAACAAAATCCTCTCAAATGTTCCACAGAATGATACCTGCTCAAACAACGGAAGCCATGTCACAAGACTCTCCAGCCTGTC